TTCCAAAATTCTCGTTTAGAATGATCTATTTTTAAATTTTCGTTTAACTTTTTTATTATTAATTTTAGAAGACTTAAAAGATCAAAATTAAACAGAGTTACTAAAGTTTAACTTCGATGTAAATTTATATTTGTAAAAGGATTTAAAGTGCGTATCAATTTTCAAAAGCATTGTCTTGTAATGTCTTTTTTTTCTTCTTCTTTTAACGTTATCTCATCTATTTTTATAGGAATTTATCTTTCTACGAATCAATATTTAGTGGCACTCTTTGTTCTAAGTTCTTCGTGGCGATTATATTTAAATATATGCTGTAATTGGAACATTAATTTGGTATATAATAATGTTCACAAGTTGTTTTCGTTGTTGTGCTGCTGTTTTCTTATAATACGAGACATAATAAATATTTTTCAAGGATAAAAAAATTTTTAAATTAATTTCAAAGTTAGGATTTTATTTTTAAATATATTTTTTGTTTATACAATAATAGAGTTTGTTTGTTTATAATAAAAGAATAAAGCGTGACCGACATCTGATTTTCTTTATAAGAAAAATTTATTGTTAGATTTTTGGTAGAGAAGAAATTTATTATGGAAATAAATTAGAACAAAATAATAACAATAAAATTCTTATAAGTTTTATTCTATATTTACATAATTGTATTTTTGATATGGATAAAAACATTAAGAGTAATACTTAATCAACTTGATACGAAGTTTATTCAAGTAGATTATTAAATTCCTAATATAACAGTTATTAAATAAAGTATATTTTAGTATGTAAAGCAGTTAAAATGCGGTCATATATTTAATAAAATGTTATAAATATTAATATAAAAGTGTTGTATATTTTGTTCGGAGGATGAAAGGATTTTTTTATGTGTAAGTGGAGAATAAAAGTCGATATCTATGTGATATTATAGTTCAGATTTTATTAATAAGATAGAAAAAATTAAAATGAAAAACCTGTATCAAACAAATACAAGTGTTATGTTTAATCGATAGACTACGCGAAAATGATCGTGAAATATTTTCCGGAATTGACTCCACCCTATAATTAAATCTTCGGTAAGACACATAGAGTAACTTATGTTTCTTTCACTAATACAGAAAGATTCATTATTAAATTAAATCTTAAGGAGAGCGAGAATAAACCTACCAAACAATAGTATATGATGGTAAAAAAAAAATATATATATATAAATTTAAGAAAAAAAACTTTCTGGAAAACAAATTCCTTCTTCATTCATCTCAACCAAATGGAAGAAAATGTTATTTCTCTCCCTTGTGTCTTCATTCAAAACATTAAAAAGAACGTCTAAATGGAAGAGGAGGTTCCTCTTAACAAACACTGAGGTACTTCATTTCGTCCTTGACTCAGATTCTTCTATTAATATTTAATTAGATGTCATTCGATAAGAGTTGAGGTCGACACACCCATCTGACATTTTCTAATTCCTCCTTTCTTTACTTTCCCCCACCCCTTTTTTATTTTTGAATTTCGGAATTGTAAAAAAAAAAAAAATATAAAAAACGAATGGTTTTAAAGTTTTAAAAGCTGTTTTGTAAAAATACAACAATTAACTATAGTGTTGTATAGCTTCATAACTTAATTGTTTCGTAAATCGCGCTTCTTCTATGACGTAATAGTAGTTACCATGATTTCCGGTTGGAGCTGGAAAAGTCGCAAATCCGTGACAAAACAGAATCGATAGAAAGTCAGGCAGGAGTGTTTGCGACGTCATCGATCGAACATCCAATAGAAAAAGCTTATGGAAAGACGTCGACTGGCAATGCCACGATTATAAGCGGATCACCGGGGTAACCATCGCATTCGCTGGCACAGAAGCCAGTCGAGTGTTCGGTTTTATCTTTTGAATCACCTTTAACTATGGGGGATAGAACGTGTAACGATTCCGAGTGGCTCTATCTCAACTTCTCTTCTATAGAATTTCCCAGCGACACTTCTTTTCGCGAGTTGACTTGGAAGGAATACGCCAAAATCGTGAGTTACTTGTTATTAATGTGTGCCACAGTAGTGGGCAATCTGGGCATCGTCTTTGCAGTGGGTCTTAATAACTCCATGCGCACTACCATCAACGTCTATCTTGTCAATTTGGCAGTGGCCGACCTGTTGATCTGTCTGACTTGCATGTGGGTCCATCTGTGCAACGATCTGACCGAACCTATTTACGTATTGGGACCTTTCATGTGCAGTTTCAATCCTTTTGCTCAGAGTAAGTTCTATAAACTTTTATATTTTATAAAATTAAGAGAAATATCGATTAAGAATAATATAAATGGATGGCTCTTTCGTATCATACACCATTCGATAATTGTAGTTCTGTTTTGAGGTGTGTGATTTAGATTTTCAGCATGAATTTTGATCAATCTTATCACGCAATTTGACTAAAAAGTAAAATTAAAAATAATATTGATACATTTTCTGTATCAAAAACAATTCTTTTTTATTCTAGAAATTCATTCTCTCGTTATTAATTCTGTTTTATATCAGTTATCCCTTAAGCTAGAATAAATATTTTCATTTGTTTCAAGCCGTTTCCTTCCTATTTCATATATCAATAATTAATTAACTAGTTTCACGAGAGACATTTCTATTCAGAAAAAAAATAACGAGAAATATAATCAATAGTTTCATTACTAAAATAAAGACATTTATTTAAGAGCCGGAAAATGTTTACTTAGTAAAGAAAAATATACTCCTTTATTTATGAATATTATTAATTTTACGAGAAAGAGAAATTGAAAGAAAAATTTTTTATTAAATAAACTAAAAAGGAAAGAAAAGTTAATTTAAAATTAACTATTAAATAAAAATAGAAATATGTAATAATGTTATTAATTTTCGTTACTCTTTTATGTCGTTGCTCTCCATCCTCCTATCTTCTCTTGTCTCTTCCTAAATTAAAAATTATCAATTTTACTATTTACTACTGTAATTGTTCGATAGAGAATTTTGAAAGATGTGTCAGATACACACGATGATGATTTCAAGAAGAGACAGAGAATGAAAAATATGTAAAAGTTTGCAAAACTATTTTCCATTTAGTTTCTCGTTCCTGCTGACACGGAATGAAATCTCATCTTCTTAACGATAAATTTTCTGCTGAGTTATGTTAACAGTTGTCCGGACTTCGATTTACTTTCTGTTATTACTTTTTAACTGGGAATTTTAGTGAGTTTGCACAATCCCCTTAAAGTCGGTTTTCCTATTCTTATTAAAATGTTATTTTTTATTTCAGAAGTTTTACTCTACCTCTATTATAATGAATTTTTTATAATGTTTTAATTATATCATATACTAATTTATTCAATTATATATATATATACATGCGTTGTGTCCTGTATGGTGTTGTGTTCTGTTGCATGTACGTTGTGTATTTATATATTATTTATTATTATTTATTACATTCATATTCGTCAATGCCAATTAATATCGTGTCGAACATAAACAAATGCTATTTATTAAGAAATTTATCGTTATTTTATACCAGGGATGGTTTTAATGGTACTGTATTTATTTTTCTCTATAATAATGCCTTTTATATAGATTTTACGGTCATATTTAGTACAAATCATCTTAGAATTTATAAATTCATCTCGTCTCATCACTGGTAACAAGAGCAAATTTACCAAAATGCTCTGTCACAATCCTGTCCTGTCAACAATTAACGATTGTTTATTAATGTAAATAATTAGAATTCTTATATCGTTACAAGTTTTGTAACAAATTTTATTTTTATTAATAAAAATAAACTTTTCAATTTCAACTTTCTTATATCAGTTTTCATAAAGTCCTTTACGAAAGATGATATCTTTGTAATTACGCAAATAAGTAATACCGGGATTGGACGAATGCATTACAATAACGAATAATATCACATTTCCTTATTTATCACGAATTTGCATTAATTTTTGTTACACGATACTTGGATAATTTACCCCAAATATTTTATTTACGAAGGATTTATTTCTTTTAGTGTCTAAAAGAAAATATTCTACAGTTTCTCCATTGATTCTTTTATTTGAATTTGTAATTCATGTTGCTATAAATCATAAAATAATAAATTCTCAAGATAAAGGAAATGTGCTCACACCCTTAATTAAAAAAATATATTATAGAATTTATAATTTTAAACTATTTTCTCCATTTTAATTGTTAAGTAAAGCTGTATTAATCATTAAATTATATTGAAATTCGTTTACTCGATTACTCTGTCTTGAATCTCAAGAGTTTCAATGAATACGTTAAAGACTTAAGTACATAAAGTCGAGTGGTAACAAAATGAAAAATATTTGCTATTTATATGAACGAGAGAATATCTAAGCCGTTATATCCAACGGAAGATCTTTACAGAGTAACAATGAAGCAATTATCGTCATTATACACATCAAAGGAGTACTTTAATGTAAATCATTACATTTGTTAAGTACAGAATATATCATATAATTACATCAGATCGTTTTACTTGTTCGGGCTTTTATGTAGACCTATACATAACGAGGGAAAGTATTGGAATCATTTTTAATTTAACCCTTCGAGACAGAAAAATTCTATGGTTATGCGGAGTGTAGTGGGTGTTTTGGCGTGTATATATGTGTTAGCGCCTATTTGGTTCAATATTTTAGGATGGAGTAAATATTAAGAAACGAAATTAGGCAGGATGGCTTGTGTATAAGAGACATTGATGCCATTAAATTTTGGTGGTGAAAGGTCGAGAGGATGGAGAGATAGAGGGTGGTCACTTATCTCGAGTGGGGTCAAACTTAATGAAGATTTTATTTGTCAGCATTTATAGTTTATATATATATAACTCATCTCTACCCTCAAAATTAAGCTTTTTGTCATATTATAATAATAAAAATATAGAAAGATTTTATAACAAAAATCTCATAACAGATGGCGCCATACACAATTTATTTATTCCAATAGAAAAAGCTTATGGAAAGACGTCGACTGGCAATGCCACGATTATAAGCGGATCACCGGGGTAACCATCGCATTCGCTGGCACAGAAGCCAGTCGAGTGTTCGGTTTTATCTTTTGAACCACCTTTAACTATGGGGGATAGAACGTGTAACGATTCCGAGTGGCTCTATCTCAACTTCTCTTCTATAGAATTTCCCAGCGACACTTCTTTTCGCGAGTTGACTTGGAAGGAATACGCCAAAATCGTGAGTTACTTGTTATTAATGTGTGCCACAGTAGTGGGCAATCTGGGCATCGTCTTTGCAGTGGGTCTTAATAACTCCATGCGCACTACCATCAACGTCTATCTTGTCAATTTGGCAGTGGCCGACCTGTTGATCTGTCTGACTTGCATGTGGGTCCATCTGTGCAACGATCTGACCGAACCTATTTACGTATTGGGACCTTTCATGTGCAGTTTCAATCCTTTTGCTCAGAGTAAGTTCTATAAACTTTTATATTTTATAAAATTAAGAGAAATATCGATTAAGAATAATATAAATGGATGGCTCTTTCGTATCATACACCATTCGATAATTGTAGTTCTGTTTTGAGGTGTGTGATTTAGATTTTCAGCATGAATTTTGATCAATCTTATCACGCAATTTGACTAAAAAGTAAAATTAAAAATAATATTGATACATTTTCTGTATCAAAAACAATTCTTTTTTATTCTAGAAATTCATTCTCTCGTTATTAATTCTGTTTTATATCAGTTATCCCTTAAGCTAGAATAAATATTTTCATTTGTTTCAAGCCGTTTCCTTCCTATTTCATATATCAATAATTAATTAACTAGTTTCACGAGAGACATTTCTATTCAGAAAAAAAATAACGAGAAATATAATCAATAGTTTCATTACTAAAATAAAGACATTTATTTAAGAGCCGGAAAATGTTTACTTAGTAAAGAAAAATATACTCCTTTATTTATGAATATTATTAATTTTACGAGAAAGAGAAATTGAAAGAAAAATTTTTTATTAAATAAACTAAAAAGGAAAGAAAAGTTAATTTAAAATTAACTATTAAATAAAAATAGAAATATGTAATAATGTTATTAATTTTCGTTACTCTTTTATGTCGTTGCTCTCCATCCTCCTATCTTCTCTTGTCTCTTCCTAAATTAAAAATTATCAATTTTACTATTTACTACTGTAATTGTTCGNTATTTTTATTCTAATATTTCTCTTGAAGAATCAATAAGTTGGTATGTTGAATCAGAATGTAATACTATGTATATGAAAAATTAATTAACTAAGTATTGTCGTAAGAAATATTTGATTCACATTACGAATTGTGAATAGTAAGTTTTGAACCTAAATTTGATGATTAAACAGAGTAAGTGATGATTCAGGAGTCTTGTGGACGCCAGCATTCCGTGACATGTTTCTTCGAGCTACAACAAACACAATTAAAAACAAATAACTCAGAAAAAGAGATTAACTTCTCAAAAGTTCTGAAGATTATGAAGGAACTGACGTGTAAATTGGAAGAAAAAATAAAAGAGGAGGTAGTTGAAAACGATTAAACGCCTGTTCGTTTTCTCTTCTTCCTATTCTTCCGTCTTCGCACAGTTTTAATATTTCTAAGTCTAAAAGTTTTAATTGTTAATAGGAATATATAAATAAAACTTGTTAAAGAAATTATATATAGTTTCGTCTTTGACCCGCTTGTGTCTTTTCCGAATCTGACACATTAAAACATTAACTATCTTTCAACTTGTCTTCAATAATAATAAGAAAAAAATACTCTCTACACGTCAGTCAAGTAGAATAATGAAAAGACAAGAGACAATATTAACATATATTAAACACTTGGCACATCATTTCACTCCTCTTACATATAATTTTCTTACCATAATGAAAAAAGTTGGCAACGTAATTGCTGGTCTTTTCTGGCATTCTTTACTTGTTTTCATCCATAATAATTGCTACCATTACTTTTAAGTCTTCAGATTCATATAAANTTAAGATTACGAGAAAGAGAAATTGAAAGAAAAATTTTTTATTAAATAAACTAAAAAGGAAAGAAAAGTTAATTTAAAATTAACTATTAAATAAAAATAGAAATATGTAATAATGTTATTAATTTTCGTTACTCTTTTATGTCGTTGCTCTCCATCCTCCTATCTTCTCTTGTCTCTTCCTAAATTAAAAATTATCAATTTTACTATTTACTACTGTAATTGTTCGATAGAGAATTTTGAAAGATGTGTCAGATACACACGATGATGATTTCAAGAAGAGACAGAGAATGAAAAATATGTAAAAGTTTGCAAAACTATTTTCCATTTAGTTTCTCGTTCCTGCTGACACGGAATGAAATCTCATCTTCTTAACGATAAATTTTCTGCTGAGTTATGTTAACAGTTGTCCGGACTTCGATTTACTTTCTGTTATTACTTTCTAACTGGGAATTTTAGTGAGTTTGCACAATCCCCTTAAAGTCGGTTTTCCTATTCTTATTAAAATGTTATTTTTTATTTCAGAAGTTTTACTCTACCTCTATTATAATGAATTTTTTATAATGTTTTAATTATATCATATACTAATTTATTCAATTATATATATATATACATGCGTTGTGTCCTGTATGGTGTTGTGTTCTGTTGCATGTACGTTGTGTATTTATATATTATTTATTACATTCATTTACATTCATATTCGTCAATGCCAATTAATATCGTAAAGGATTTTTTTATGTGTAAGTGGAGAATAAAAGTCGATATCTATGTGATATTATAGTTCAGATTTTATTAATAAGATAGAAAAAATTAAAATGAAAAACCTGTATCAAACAAATACAAGTGTTATGTTTAATCGATAGACTACGCGAAAATGATCGTGAAATATTTTCCGGAATTGACTCCACCCNTATCATTTTAATTGCGATTTAAAGCAATAGTTTTTTAAACGTACTAGAAGCTTTGCAACTAATTCTCTCTGGATCTTTATTATTATCAAACATTCTTACTTTCCAGTAGTAAGAAAACTTTATTGTCTTCCACATTAACTTTTAATGTCTGGCTGTTGTACAAATAAATTCTAGCGGCAACTTATTTGTAAAGAGCTAGACAATAAAGATAATTCGTAAAGCAGAAAAAATGCCAGAATAAGAGAAGAAATCACTGAGTATAATGATAACAATATAATGAGTAATGACACTGTGGTATCTGGGTATTGATTACGTTTGTATTCCTGGAATTTGGAACTGCAGACATTTCTGTTTCTGAGTCTCTGAAATTTCCAGGATGCGATTTCTCTTATATAAATTACATTTAAATTCTTTCTTTATTTTCATATACAATTATCATTACATTTTATAATGAAATATTTTAACTGACACGATATCTAAGTGTTGAAAAAGTTATTTATGAGCTCTTACATTCTCTATGACAGAATAATAATAAAAAAAATCACTTTAGAAATTTAGTAATTACGTCCATTAAATTTAAAGTAAAAAGTAAATATTTCAAGAAAAATGCATTCTCTTGCTTTAAGTCTACTCAAAAGAACAAAAATAGTCGAAAAATAAGTTTACATTTGCATCGTATTAAAAAAGAAATGAAGGATATGCACTTTTAAGTAAAGAAAGTAACAAAAAACATCACTTTTTATCGCTAATTTTTTTTGAAATTCGAAGAGAGATAGCTCCATGCATTAAAATGCCAAACAAAATTACAAATTTAAAACTATTTAATTTATTTAAAAAAATAATAATATTTCACGTAATATATTACGTGAAAATTTTCCAGAAATGACGGAATTTATGATAGACTTTTTTCTGTAAGCTACTGCTAGAAGCTTAGCTTTAGTGAGAATAAAAACTTCCATTTGTTTATACAGGAAAAAAAATATCTTTTAAGAGTTAATGCATTTAAGACTTTCTGAACCGTTTCTTCAAAATGTATACGTGTTTTTTTTTTTTATAAAAAACGTTGTTTTACTAAACTCTTTAAAGTAAAAATATGTTAAAATTGCAAATATATTTGGTATTCAAAAACATCAAAAGCATAAAAATGGTTTCAACTCAGAACAGAAATGAAAACTTTTACACGTGATGTATATAATCCTGGAATATTTCTAGCCTTCTTTTGCTTTCTAACATGTAAATGAGTTCTTATCACAGCATTACTTTTCATTGTTCGTGACAACAGCTTGAATTTTACTAAAGTTCTTATCAAATGTAAAACCTAACTGATATCAGCGTGAGTTTTACTTTCCCTGAGTTGTTATTTATAACACAGGGAGATTATGGCGATCGATCAAAGAATGTTCCCTCCCAAGATTTTTACATTTTTAGACTCAGAGAACCCTGAAATATCGAGAAAAAAGTCCCTGTATGTATTCATATATGTGACACACGATTCACCTATATCTCTACACTCAATATGGATACATATTGTTTGTTTATAATTAAACGACTCTTTAATTTAACTTTATTGTATTTTAGAGTTTAGTCATATCATTTAGACTAGTCTGAGATAATATACAACTGCAAAAGATTCTATTTTCTGCCTCTTATATTAAAGAATTTATGTAGTTAAATCCTAAACACGTGCTCATTTATGGACTTTATATTATAATACAATAATATGAAGAGAAAATTTCGTATGTAATTTCAATAGTGTTTTTTTTTCTAAAAATAAAGATTGATAAGTATGAAATTTCTTGTAAACTCTCTGCTTACAAAAGCAAAAAAAAAACAATAAACAAATTTTCTTTATTACAAGATAAAAAGACATTTATTTGGAATAGTTAAATAATTTATGGGGAAAAAATCTAACATTTTTTGCAATTGAAAATCGAAAAGTACACTACGAATGGAGAAATAAGTGCGTGGAAAGATGGAGTAGATAAGTGGATGATGGATGAGATGGAAGAAGATGTTAGTATTTAGCTTATCGATTTTCTTTTCAAAAAATTGAAAAACAAATTTTCTTATTGTTAGCATTCCTTCTACCCTATTTGTCGTCGATTCTCCTGAAGAGAGCAAAGTGATTTTATTACATCCGAAATAATAAATTATTATTAAAAATATTGGTTTGTATGACAATTTCAGAATAAAGTTTAACAATCATTTCATCTTTATAAAACAGAATTCCTTTCTCGTTTCAGTGGAGCGACTTTCTGGAAATTCAATGTTCGGACGTTTGGCCTCACGAAACAGTCTATTCAGAAGAATTGGGTAGATGCGTCAAAGAGATAAAAGGAAAAAAAATTTACTATACTTTCGTCACGGTGGCTCTTTTCTTCCTGCCAATCGTCATCATGAGTACTTCCTATTCCCTCATCATCTGGAGGCTGTGGATGAACAAAGTTCCTGGAGAAAGAAGTGTGGCTAACATCAGTCTCCAACACAAGGCCAAGAAAAAAGTAAGAAATTAATAAATTCAGCTGTTGCATAAATTTATAAAGCTATCGATACAATAAAAAAGTTACGAGTGCATCTTGTTATATTCCCAAATATTAATATAAAATTTATAGAAATTTTATTCGTAGTTTCGAATGAGCTAAATAACAATTATTGCCTCTCACATTATCATTTTAATTGCGATTTAAAGCAATAGTTTTTTAAACGTACTAGAAGCTTTGCAACTAATTCTCTCTGGATCTTTATTATTATCAAACATTCTTACTTTCCAGTAGTAAGAAAACTTTATTGTCTTCCACATTAACTTTTAATGTCTGGCTGTTGTACAAATAAATTCTAGCGGCAACTTATTTGTAAAGAGCTAGACAATAAAGATAATTCGTAAAGCAGAAAAAATGCCAGAATAAGAGAAGAAATCACTGAGTATAATGATAACAATATAATGAGTAATGACACTGTGGTATCTGGGTATTGATTACGTTTGTATTCCTGGAATTTGGAATTGCAGACTGTTTCCAAGTCTCTGAAATTTCCAGGATGCGATTCCTCTTATATAAATTACATTTAAATTCTTTCTTTATTTTCATATACAATTATCATTACATTTTATAATGAAATATTTTAACTGACACGATATCTAAGTGTTGAAAAAGTTATTTATGAGCTCTTACATTCTCTATGACAGAATAATAATAAAAAAAATCACTTTAGAAATTTAGTAATTACGTCCATTAAATTTAAAGTAAAAAGTAAATATTTCAAGAAAAATGCATTCTCTTGCTTTAAGTCTACTCAAAAGAACAAAAATAGTCGAAAAATAAGTTTACATTTGCATCGTATTAAAAAAGAAATGAAGGATATGCACTTTTAAGTAAAGAAAGTAACAAAAAACATCACTTTTTATCGCTAATTTTTTTTGAAATTCGAAGAGAGATAGCTCCATGCATTAAAATGCCAAACAAAATTACAAATTTAAAACTATTTAATTTATTTAAAAAAATAATAATATTTCACGTAATATATTACGTGAAAATTTTCCAGAAATGGCGGAATTTATGATAGACTTTTTTCTGTAAGCTACTGCTAGAAGCTTAGCTTTAGTGAGAATAAAAACTTCCATTTGTTTATACAGGAAAAAAAATATCTTTTAAGAGNGATTTTCACAGAAATACTCAGAATGATGTGGAAATATTTGAACTATATTTTATGCTAATTTAAATTTTATTTATTTAAATATTTATTTTAAATTTATTCGACTTCATAAGAGTAAATTGATAATGAAGAACTAAAAGAGCATTTTTCATTGGTGACAAGCGAATAAAATGTATTTAGTCATTAGATGCTGATTGATGATCGATCCGTTGTATCATCAATCAACAATTAATTATAACAACCGTGAAAATGAACGAATTCTAATCTTACCTGTTAATTCTCTCGTAGCATTTAAAGAAACTACAGTGAAAGTCAATTAAGTTCTGTCGAATATCGTCATTCAATTACTTTATTTAGAATGGGAATATTTATTCTGACAAAGATTCTGAACGATGCAATAAATCCCACTAGCTCCTAACTTCTGAACGTTTATTAAATGTTTGTTTACGCCGTTAAATATAATCCTGTGACATTCATATTGGGAATTCCACTTTAAACTTGTATTTAGAATTAGAACATTTATAGAAAACCATAATAAAACCATAAATTACCTCTTAGCAATTTCATTATGTAATTTTAAGCAGTAATATTAAGTAATGTTGTTTATATTTATACACAGATACTTTTTGTCTTGTACACATCATAATTTTCGAACAGATAAAATCAATTTTAATTGTTTAGTATTTAATTATTCTCATAACCATAAATTACAATGTTCAAACAATACAATACAAAACAATTTCAAATATAAAATGAATGGAGAAAGGATCTCGAAAGTGTTTTTCTCTATTAGAAGACATCATTACAAGTTTTTTTTTTAAATTGTGGATGAATCCTCGTCAAAACTGTATAGAAATTTACGGCAAATTCCATTAAAATTTCAATCCGAAGCATGCAACGTACAGAACGTATCAGCAAAACATCTAATTTTATTTAATTAAATTTACATTTTCAAATGTCAGATGTTTTGTAGCATTTACTTAAACCGAAGCGTATAAAATTCATTTACTTAACATTTACTATTTACTCTTACTCGTCGAGAAAAAGGTGAATGAAATATGAATGGTTAAATAAAAAGTATCAGAATATTTCGAAGTAATTCTATGAAAATTTTCATATATTCGAGGATATTCTAAATATAATTTTAATCGGAATATTCCCATTACAAAAGTATAAAAATAAGAAAAACAGATCATTTCAATTCTACACACCCTTTGAGAGTATATGAATGGATTCTCAACTCCAGCCTCATCACTTTTTCAATTGTCTCGTTCTCTCCTTCAATTTTCTTCATAAATATTTTAAAATTATTTTTAAAAGTTAAAATAGAATAAATATTATTCCTTATCTTCTACATTTACTTCTCAGAATACAAGAATTCATACTTTCAAAACAAGGAAAGATAATGAAAAATGAATATTAAATGTAATAATTATTCATTTTCACTTATCTTTATCTTGAATTGAAAGTTATATCGCATTTTTCAAACATAAGAAGAGATAAATTTATTTTTAAAATGAAAAAAAATTATGTATATATTTTAAAATTAGGGGAATCTGTTCTTCTTCTTCTTAAGATATATTGACCTATCTAAATTATTAGCTGTATTCTCTCTGCTTTGTAAATTACTCTAAATTGCCTTTATTCTATTGACATATTACATGCTTAATAATTGCATAAATACATTTGACTGTTGAAGAAATTCTTGTGTAGAAAGTTCAAAAGAAAAATATTCAAATATATTATTATAATATTGGAATTTTAATCACAAATATCCTTAAAATTATTATTTAAATTTACTATGATTTATCAATTACATGATTAATGATAATAATACGTTCGTAATATAAATACGTACTGTACGTAATGTAAATAATGATTTATATTACGTTATCATGTAACAAAATATACATTAGGAAAGATTTTTAATTTAAGAAACTTAATTTCTTCATAATTCACCACAGGAATACAAAATCACACAGCAGAGTTGACCTTTTGTACGTTCTTCTCCACTTAAATATATGAAATTGTTGAAAATATTTCTCTAAAGGTAGTATTATTATAAAAACCATAAAGTTTTGAAACAAAAAAACATGATGTTTTCAGTAATTTTACATACAGAATCACAGAGAGTCTACGACAAAGTACTATTCTGCTGTATTATTTACTTTCCTCTGTTGTAAAAGTGATGAAATGTGGTAGGTTATTTATCTTCTAGTCATAAAATCTGTTAAAATATCAGTTATATTTAAAAATAAATAACTGATAAAATGTATTTAGATCTAATAATTCTTTACTTCATCTTTTAACGTGAGATAAATGTAAAAATATTAACTCTATACATAAGTAAAAAGGATTAAGTAAATTATTATCTTTACTTAAGATTAGATTTTTATATTTATCTCACGTAAAAATTAAAGTATATGGTGAAGGAACGAGAAAGTAATTTAATCAATCAGCGAGTTTCTATTTTGAAAACTAAAAAAAATTAGCGAAGTCAATCTAATTTTTGTTTCGTGTTTCTATTCTTAAAGACAATTCTTTTTAAATCTTATTAACAAAAATAACTTAAATTTCCTTCGTCGTTATCGCAGCATCAGAGACGAAACTTTCTATCGAGTCTGCCTAATGTTAGAAGATATCGTAGATTTATTCCACAAAAGAAAACTAAGAAATTTACGTTTTCTACAACGTTCTTTCTCCTAAGAGAAGGTTTATTTTAGAAAAACTGATTTATCAAACATGACTTTATCACTATTTTATTTTGTTATTTCTACCTTAGATAAGAGTAGGAAATTTTTTTTTCTTCTCGAGCACAGATAAGGTTACTGAGTAACCGAAGAACAAGTCCATAAATACAAGTTTCCTTTTACGATATAAAAAGTCACGGTTACGACAGAAACGTGGTGCAATATTTATGAGTCTATCTCCTCTTTCTCGTTACTGTTATGAAAACTTATATATTGACATAGAAAATTATTAATATACATGAGTTATCTTATACATAATAATAAAATACAGTCATTTTCTATTATAACTTTATACTGCATTTTAAACAGTCGAGCATAAATTTTGAATATGTTTTAGTTAAATTTTATTCTATTAATTTATATATTAATTTATTAATAAACCAGTTATTCTTGTAGACTTTGTGAAGGAAAAATAAAATTGTTCTTTCTATAATAAAAACGGAATTTATAGAATTATTAAATCAAAAGCGGTATTTATCACAATCTGAAATATTCTAAATGGATAATAAAACATATATTCGTAATCAGATAAGCATGTGTTGTGTGTTGGATCTCGGTCTACGTTAGTGGAATAACAAGGATAACATTCAATTTTAGGATGAACATATCAGAAATTAAATAGAGACTAATAAAAAATATATTTTTTTGTATAGTTGCCATTTACCAGAACGTGTTTTATTCTGTAAATAATGCTTATCTTTCCTGGAATATTCTCCAAATGACTTTTTTATGACGGACGTGTCGTTTTTGTAGATGATCTCACTTTTTTTTCCATTCAAAAATTGTTTTGTGTGAAAGAAATTTTTACTTTCATCTCTTGAATTTTGGTAAAACAATTTAATTCACAATGTATTTATTATCACAGTTTGCTTTTAGTTATATTACATACAAGCTTTTATATGTAATGAGTATCTTATGTTCATACATGCTTTGATTTCTGTTATTGCAAGAACATTCTAAAACGTTTCAGTTCGTATTTATTCATGTGTTATTTTTACTTTTAAAGAAATCAGATGAGAATTTTATGTGTTCTTTTATCTTTGTACAGATTTTTCTTGTAAAAACATAAAATAAAACTTATTTCACAACAGAATGTAGTTTTTTTTATCTAGTTTTACAAAGGAAACAAACAGAGATTCGATCAATTCATTTTTTTTCCTACTCTTTTATAAATAAAACTCATCAATCGATCTCGTAACTGTAATTAAAGCTTTAAAAAACAAACAAAGATAAGAATACGTTGAGATTCGTCGTATCGTGGAATTTTGTATTCATTCTCCAAATTCGGACACAAAAAATTTTATAGCTCGTAAAGTAATAATAATTTAATATTTAAACGAGTTAAATATAATTCTGAAGTTTATTACTTCCAATCATTTGTTTTCAGGTGATCAAGATGGTTTGTGTTGTTCTGTTTGTCTTCGTTCTCTGTTGGATGCCCTTCCAAATCATCGTCCTCTACTCGCAGTTTGGACATAAAGATGCTCCTGTAAGTTCTTTAATACAATTTTTCTTTTCATTTAAAACGATTTAACATATAAATAGGGACCAGTTTTTTTAGAAAGTCCTCCCGGGAGGCATCTCTCTTGTCACATCGTTTACGTGTTGAGTTTATTTATCGTACTATTTTTTAAGGTTTTCAAAATTTAAGAAGAAATAATATGAGACATTCATAAGTTTTACAGTCCATTTGTATTTCTTTAATTAAATGAATTGGACGTGCAAGGTTTTTTTTAAAAAAAAAGTGTTTCTGTAATTAGTGTTTGCCATCAAAAGCCAGCGATACGAGCACAAAACACCTGCAAACAAATATCTAATGGAAGAGTAACTCGAAAGAGGAAAACATCATAACAGAACCAACCAAATAAATTCCACAGGGAAATGATCCAGTCCATTCAAGACTACATTAAGTCGTCTCCAACTTTGTCACTATAAGTTTGTAGATGCCGAAATCATAGTAAAGTTTACCTTTAATGTAATATAAACATAACACGTTTTGTTTGAATTTTTGTGTAAATTGGTACCAGGAACAGAATATATGCGCAGCAAATGAAGATAGTTATAGAGATCTTTTTGTGAAGATTACAACATTAGCTTTAAGTTACAAAAAACAGCAGAAGCTCTGAAAACTAATTTAAAAGAGAAAAATACAATCAGTTAAAAGAAAACGAAAACAAATTTGTAATTTTAGTCGACCTTCAGTAATAGTACAGTATCTACCCCAACTCTGACAGTAGCATTTGACATAAGAAATGGCCTGAAAATCGAAGAATTCGTGACTATGCTAAAGTAGGAGAGAAACTACAGTTAAACACGACAGCGAAGATACCGCAAGTGTGTTAATACTTTTCAAACAATAGAATCCCAGAAACACACAAAACTACCGACCACAAAAGAGAGAATTTAAAAACATTTTTAAATACTTACCAGTAGTTTAATTGACGTATTATCCAAATCACTGTGATGATATCCCTAGTAATACTCTTGTAGATTTCCAAATGGTGTTGATGGTTACGTGGATAATGACAATTTAGGTTGAGAGTTGTTATGTTTTGTATATACTTTTAATAATTATCGACATAATTCCGAATTTAAATTTTCTTTCAGTTGCCGGAATGGTTTGTAAATCTGAATTATTTCGCTACATTTGCCGCTTACTCCAACAGCGCTATCAATCCCGTTATATACGGAGGATTCAACAATAATTTTCGACAGGCTTTCCTGAAATTACTAAAATGTACTTATGGAGAAAAGAATTTAAAGAGACCTCGTGAGTATTTCCTTTTTCCTGTCATACAAAATTGATCTAAGCTTTAAATAGTGTTCTATAAGAAAAGGTTCGGGAGTATGTTTACTTATTTTTCTTTATTCAGAATGTTCTCGGATGACTTTCAGCACAGCAGTCACGTGGAGTCCTTCTCACGGAAGAGGGAAATTGATAAATGGAATAAAAGAAACGGAACTCAAATCGCCTCTCGATGGAAATAAATTTTACTTTTCTCACACGAAAGAGGCGAAGCCAACCCCTATATAAAATTTCATGTCGAACTTCAGTTTTCTTTGATCCCAGAACTGCCCTTCAACCCTTTAGAAAAAAAAAGACGAACAATATTTTTACTAAGATATACTTCTATAATTCATCTGATGTGTGTATTATTGTAAACGATATTGAATTGCCAGCATGTTCTCTCTATATATATATATACTTGTAATTTCGTTCGGATGAATAAATTTTACTTCTCAATTGTTTTATGTTACGAAATGCTTAACGCCTGACGTGTATGTTCGTTAAATAGAGATTTAATAAGAACAAAACATTAGGTATTTTTCATTCAAAATTAATTAGACTGGTGTAATAGGAATTAAGAAATCTAAGAAAATTATTGTTGCAATTTAGTAAAATTACTTAATGATTGTTTAATTATCGAGCAGCAGTTAATAACATCATCGGAAACTGAAGTATTTTCCAGTTTTTAATTAAGAAGATTTATTTTACCTTTTCATATATGAATTATTTCGCTTTTAAATAACATTAAGTAATTTAAATATTGTAATAAAAAATGGGTTAGAAAAGTGAATAAAACTCTTCTTTTTTTTATATTGAATAATTAATTAATGAGAATGTAAGTAATTTAATGACATAAACTGAAAACAGAAAAGAAGTTCCCTCTCTTCTTTAGTATCTTATTTTTATTTAAAAATTAGAAAATCTTTACAAAACTTGATGCCATAAAATGCCATATTTATTATTATGAAATATTTAAAATATTTTATAGGTGAGTTGGAATATTTTATTCTTTACGAAAAGATTTTATTATGTATTACTATACTCTTGAAATAAAATAGCTTCTAGGCAAGAATCGATACGTCCACATTTTACATAAGATCTCATTTTTTACTACATTGTTCTAATACTCGTAAAATCGACACTTCTATAATGATAAAATGTTAAATTTTAAATGAAAACTGCAAATATCTTTAGTAGTAAATTGACATCTTAACACATACAAAAACCAGAAGTGTCAATCAGAAACTACACATTGAATCGCGTGACACTTAAGCTATATTTGATATGAATACCAGAAGTGGACAATCAAATGAGAGAATTTTATTCACGTCATTTTTAATAAACGTGTAAACGAGTATCAGATTACTTGTGGCTCATATTTTCTTTCTTCTTCCACTATCTATTCTTTACAAAATGTACGATTTGATTAGAATATTTTTTTTCCACTAATAACACTCGGAGTAATCTTTAACTAATGGTGCCGTGCTTGTTTTAATTAACACAAAGTTACAATCTTAACATTGCCGTATTGAATAATCACCTCTTATGAGCGTATTATTTAGAATATAATCATTCGTGTTCTCTCCACGAAAGGATTCAAGACAGCAAGTTTAGTAAATTCAGTCATTAAATTTCATTTTTAAATCAAAATATATGGAAATTTATCTGTGAATTTTTAACATATTGGAAATAAAACTATTATCTTGTCATTTATGTAACAATTTATTCTTAATATTATTCACGAATTTTTAAAAAAAAATTCTGTGTGAAGAGCGAAATTTCGTAAAACTCACGCTGTAAACTTTTATATTCAAAATCTCCTTCTAAAGTTAAAATATAAAATAATTAGAAAGAAATTTCTAACCGTGTTATAATTGAATTATAAATTTGTATAGTAATTTTAGAATAGAATAATTTAATTAATGTTTAAATGCAAATATCTGGAAGTTTAATGGTTAAAATTTGCATAAAACTGTTGTAAAATTCGACGATGCTTCTTCTATTACCAGCAAATTTCAAAAGTATTAATTAAATTCTCTTAAATAAATCTATTTATTTTGAAAGAGTAATAATTTGCAAAATAAAAGGTACAACTGACAATGGAAATCTCCGATTCAATCATCGTCTGAGATTTAAATTAAAAGTCTGGAAATAGTTTTAAATTTATAATAAAAGTTTAAAACTTTATTTCTCTCGTTTCGTTTTATTTTTGTAATCGAAATAAATATGACTTCTAACAACTTTTCGAATCGATTTTCATGCATAATATGAGAATCTGTATAACGTTGAAGAATATATTCCAGAAAGCAGTCGCTACCACATACGAACTTCTCGACCTCTCTGTTTGAAAGGTTAGGGGTGGACCCTATCAACAAAATCTCACAGAATTTAGAATCTTGTACTGTACAGTACATACTCGTACATCAGATGTAAAAACTATAATGTAAGACAAAATGTATAGCAATTTGTATGGTCGACATAACAGAAGTTGTAAAATAAGTACGATTATCTNCCGTTCGACCAATTGCTACAAAATTTGGTAGTTACGTTTACATACCCTTAACTTAGATAATGTCTTACATATCATTCCAAAATATCTATTGGATTTCTGTAAATCAATTACTTTCTATCTACATTGGATTCGCTTATGGTAGCATACAGCACTTGGTCGACATAACAGAAGTTGTAAAATAAGTACGATTATCTTGAAGATAATTGATGCATAATTAATGTAATTAGCCAATTATCTTGACGAAAGAGAATCTAAAGTTGCTCTACTGACTTAGCTCTGGATTAACTGTCCTCAAGTCCACTAATTCCTCTAAAAGACGACAATAAATTTACTTTCCTACTGGACGGAAAAACTATGATATCGTCTACCAACTTAGATTAGAGATCAATTTGATACCTGAGATCAATCATGTATCGACTGAAAGTACCGTGAAATTCTTAATGATTTCATTTAACGATTGGTACTTAATTCACTTAATTCATTAAATTGTAAAATAAAATATAAATTTCATGGAAACTTTGTAGAAAATGATACTCTTACTTAGAAGAAAGACATTAAGAAAAGACAATTACAGGAAGTATAATTTTGTTAATATATATATAACATCACAAGATCACACGCATTTTTATGGTTCTGTAATCTATAGTATGTAATTATCAGCCATTACTAAAATTTATGGATGACTTTTTAATATTTTCCCCACAATTTCATTCAATTTCTTCGGATACGGTCGAGCATTACTTTGAAAAATGGCATGAAAAAGTTGAGAGAAGACAATAGATAATAGAAATGATTTTCACGCTTATATTTAAGCATTTGGATGTTTTCTATATTTATTCAAAGAATATATTCTAATAACTTGAATCTAATCATTTGTAAGTTAGAACCACGTAGCCAATAAACTTGTGAAATTATTACTGCACAGTATTTCAACTTCTATTCAATAAATACTGTATTAATAACCTAATAACCGATAGAAGATCGGTTAATCGGATAAATTTATTTAAATATTTTAATGTTTATGATATTTTTATTTTTAAACAGTTTAAACATTTATTTATAAATTTAATGGCAATTTATTTTTGTGAAGAGAAATTTAATTTCTGCACTTGAAGTCTTGCAATATAATCGTACAATTATTTATGATCTTCTGCAGTTATCTTCCTGTCTGTTAACAATTCTTTTGTTTTGTGTTTCTCTTTACTCCTGATTTGTATTTCGTAATTCATAAATGCTTCAGTTACAAGTCTTCTTTAGAGGTTATCTATTGTTATAAAAAATTTATTAATTTAAAAAAATAATAATAGAGCTGCTAAAAGAAAGTAGGGGAAAAATCTACTTACTACGTGCTTATAGATTTTTTAATAACAAAAATCTATTTTTGTATAGTATGGAGATAAATAAAATGGGAACAGGCTGTAGTAACGAAGCCATAAGAGTGAAAACATGAAGATTTACTTTTTCTTACATTCTCCAATCGCACATAATGAGACATAATTGATGTTTACTTTTAAAAAAAACACTCCAACTATAATTAGTATCGTGCAGAATTTGGTGAAAAAAAACATTGACAGTTTGGCCTGATGCACAATTCATCGAATATTTGAGTCAGTTGAAAACACTTTCAATCGATTCAAAACATCACTCACGCCTTGAATTCTTTTCTATTTAAAATTCAAACTATTCTTAGAGTAGATAAAGGAAGATGTTAGCTGAATGATAACTGACGAATGGTACTTTAATTCGTACATAGATCTCCAGAACAAATCAAACCCGTAGATATAGAAGCAAAGATTTTCTGCTACTATGTTTAAAGGACAAGAATGAATACACGTGTCTAAAATTGTTGTTTTTTTGTTATCGTTATTCATCACTACTATGTATTTTTAAAATATATTTTCTAGCATTATAAAATTTCTATGAAAATTCCAGTTATTTCGTCTATTACTATCGATTACAAGGATTCATTTCTGTGTTTGATTCAAGTTAAAAGACAAATTCAAAAAAAAGGAAACATTAATAAAGAAAAAAGCAGGAATAAGGAAGATATATAGAGTAGTGTTTCTACAAAAAAAAAAATAAAAAGACACTCGGAATAAATCAAGCAATAAAATTAATATAGTAGTCGTTATTATATAAAGGTTATTGCTATTTTTCTTTTTAAAAATAACAATATATAAAATAAATCTTTTCTTTCCTTATATAAAGTTACTCAAATAGATACAAGACAATTGGTTATTGAAATATCTGTCAAAGTCAATATTCCCTATAATCCTCAGTCTAAAATTTCATGTAACTTACTAATGTCAGCCAATTTGTGAAATGACTTATCTTAATTAATACAAGAAGAAGGCATAACAAGGTCATTCGTTTTCGTTTCATCTGGTCAGTTTCAATCAGTTTTTGACATTTATCTCTAAATCCTTCCTGGAAAGTTTTACTCTCTTTTCCTAGGAAGATCTTCAGGCATAATTAACTATTCTAGGCAGTGACGAGATGTCTAGGGAAATAAATTGATTTACCTTTTGTATATATAAATAAAATTACCAATAGGAATCATTAAGAATCTTTAACAAATGCAGTAGATTTAAAAGTCAGTTAACCATACTTATTTATATCTCACTTATCGTATCCTTTATTTTCCTTCGATTATAGATATTATCTCGCATCGATTAGATCTTCAGAAACATCTGTTCCAACTTTACTGTTCTTAAGTTCTTTTGTTTAGCTTCTCTCGAGTGAAAAATTATTTTTTAGTATTTCTTGTTTTCAGTTTAGTCTGTTACAGTTATTGTATTTCAAATTTTTTTAAAATTAAATTTATATTTTACTCTTATTTATCTGAAAATGCATTCATTTCCATCGCCAGTTTAAAAGTCACCGATCCAAAAATAACAATAGGAAGATTGATATTTGT